ACTCTATATAAAACTTTTCTGAAATTCATATATGAAATTAACCTATACAACGAAATATATAGTGAGTCGCATTTAATAGCACTAGTAGATTTGACACATTACGCCACTATCATTTACTTTATTCACATCAATCATTTTAGTAACTATGGCAATAGCAATGCTATAAATGTTAATATCCATCCGATTCTTGCACCCAATTCCTCGAAAAGTCTTCGGGATTGACAGAGACTCGTCTTACACACCATATATACAAAGACCTCTTTTAGTACTGACCCATTTCTCATCGCATGAAATATCTCCAAAGGCCATTAATGATTAAATGCTGCTCATTTATCTTCCCACTTGAATTTATTTTTTCAGAAAATAACACTTTGAATTCAATATAATTTCATATGTTAATTTGCTGCAAAATACCAGTTGGTTCGAATCTGCTTGAAGGCCCTATCTACCAAGCGAAAAGAACCGAGGTGGGAATTTATTTCAGAGATTTGCGACGTTTTTATAATATAATGTGATATCAATTCTACCTCCTTAAATTATATCAGAGAGCTAAATGAGAGTCAGTTCATAATAAAATATAAATAACATTTTTCCGCCCTTAATATGTTCTGCACATGCACAACACTAACCCTGGGTGAAGCCATTGCACGCAAGCTGGAACACAAGGGTGCCATATGTTTTTGCGGTGGCGCCAAACATTTAGTGAGGGAAAACTCAAAGGAAGGGACAGTAATTGATAGCACATTTAGGAACAATGTTATGTACTATGAATTCTGGAATTAATTACAACTGCTCAATCTACCTACTTAATCCATTCTTCATCTTCGAGCAAAAAGTACATTAAAAAACTATTAACACTCGGGCCAGACTGGAAAGCTTTCTTTATTATAATCCACGTGTTACCTTTATGTAAAATGCTTTATCCCAGCGGCTCCCTGCCTTTTCCATTCTGTGGCCCCGACCAACATGTAATATCCTCCGAGGCCCCGTTCAATAACTGCCATCTCTTCAGATTCAGTTATTACTAGTTGTGAATAGTATAATGGTGCCATTAGCTATAGGACGAGTACACTTTGTAAAAAAAAATCTATGTGAGAGATAATCATGTATACGTAAAACAGATGAAATGAAATTCAGTATAATGCCGCTATGCTTAATCTCTCCGTACTCTGCACTATGCATTATGGCTTTCCAAATCTAGTTGCAAAGATTATTCGGAATTCATATCTTGCACAATTTCACGTTTATCGTTTGCAGCTCAGTATTCATCAGCGTCATTTTCTATGAGCTAGATGTACGATCATTAGATAATGATATTGATGATGTAATTTATTAAGCTAATGATGATAAAAAACATTATCAACAGTAAAAACAATGATAATAATAATAATAATAATAATAATAATAATAATAATATATTATTATTATTATTATTATTATTATTATTATTATAAGAATGATAATAGCGATAGTGATAATGATAATCACGATTGTAGTAATAATGGTTATAATATCAATGATGATAATAGGAACTATAATGATAATAACAATGGCAGCAACAGTAAGGATGATAATGATAATACGAATACTAATATCAATGATGACAATGATAATGATAATAATAATGATGATGGTAAAAATAATGATAATAATGATACTAATAATAACAATGATAATAATAATAATTATTATAATAATTATTAAAACAATAGTGATAAAAAATGAAAATGATAATGATAATAATAACATAGGCGACAAAAACAAAAACAATAACATTAGCAATAATGATGATGATGATAATAATGATAATTATTTTTATCATTATTATTATTATTATTATTATTATTATTATTATTATTATTATCATTATTATCGCTATTCTCATTATCATTATTATTATCATCATTATTATTATTATCGTTATTCTCATTATCATTATTACTATCATATCAAGAATAATGAAAACAAATATAATGATAATGACGATAATAATACAAGTAGACGACGATAGTAATAATGATAATAATAGCCTTCATACTAGTTATAGTGATGAGTAATAGTAATCATCATCATGACGATTAAACAATAGTGGTTTTAACAATAACGATAATATTAATAACGGTGATAGTATCTGCATTTAAATAAATGATAATGATTAAATAAGTAATGATAATACAGCAATACCTGCTTCTCACAAAGGTTTATTTCATAGACATCAGTCGGCATTGAGCATCGACTGTTTTCATACACAAAGGCAGGAAATGAAAGAGAAACAGACCGACATACCGAGACAGAGATACTCTCTCTCCCAACAATCAAAGTATCTCTAAAAAGGAAGTGTTAATAGCTACAGACAAATGGATAGATCATCAAGTAAGAATAAATTCATTCTCTTAACACTTCCCTATAGATGTCTGTACAGTAAACAATCCGACCTGTAATAATTGAACATGTCTTTTCTTTCAGCAAATCTAGCCAGACCGTGATCTAGCCCCCGTCG